TGCCAAGTCCTCAGTGGTTTTTGAGTTGACTGTTAACTGAGGTCAATACAGGAGGGATGGTCTGACTAGAAGGGTGGACAGTGAGGGGTCAGCTGAGCTGAGGCTTTGACACTTCCAAGCGATGTCCTATAAGCAGATGCCCGCTATGGGCCGTGGGTGTCAATATGATGATTTAATATTCTTTAAATGTGCATGACGGGTCAGATACTTCGTGAAGCACTTTTTGTGCACTGTACTGTTTAATCCTCGTATAACTCTGTGGTAAATTCAACAGTTGCATCTGAAATTTTCACTTGGGGAAGCTGAAGCCTAGGACGTTTGAAAACTGTTCAGAGGCCACCCAGCTAGCAGGAAGTAGCACAGCCTTATGCACAGCACCACCAAGTCCAAAGCCACCATTTTTAAGCCATGAGGCCACACTGCCTCTGTACAGGGAATAAATCTACTGGGACAAAAACATCTGCTCATGGTCCTAGAGGATGCACCAGGGAGCTCACAACAGGAGTTACTTGACGGTTACTCAGTGGTCTGACTACTAAACTAGCTCGGGCCCAAAAAATTAGGCTTAGAAATCTGTTCAGAATGCAGCAGAAGGCAAGGTGGTGAGCTGGAAAGACCCAGCAGACTCATGGCTTGACCTCCACGACCATCACTAACCAGCTGTTTTGCTTCATCTTGCTCAGCCTCCTTTCCTCATCTGTAAAGTGGGAATAGTTACACAAACCTTTTAGGGTGTGTGTGAGGATTATTAAAGGTAGCAAACCCTAGCCTGCATGTAGTAGGTGCTCAGCAGACTCTGGTCCCTTCTCCCCAGTGTTTCCCCAAAGTGGATGGGACTCACGTGATTTGCTCCTTTTTGCAGTTTAGTAGCCATACAGGGCACTGGGCGAAATCTTCAGCTGCTTTCAAAATTTCAAATTATGCCAATGAACTATGAAGATAGATTATTTCCTTACAAAGACACCAGGATTTAAGGCCAGTATATCTGGGCCACCTGGTATATCAGGTGGAGGTTAATTGATGAACTTGAAAACCTTGAGTCACTTTTCTGTGACTTGATTGCATTATACCTGTGTACATGAATGGACTTAGATAAAACTGTAGATATATAGATGGTAGGTATTGTTGTACAATACGTTGTCATGATTAGTTTTGACAAATTTTTTAAAAGATTTTATTTATTCATGAAAGACACAGAGAGAAAGAGGCAGAGACATAGGCAGAGGGAGAAGCAGGCTCCCTGTAGGGAGGCTGATGGGGGACTCTATCCCAGATCCCAGGATCACGCCCTGGGCCAAAGGCAGACACTCAACCGCTGAGTCACCCAGGCGTCCTTAATTTTGACAATTTATGGGAAATGATTCTTCAGTAAATGGCAGGGTGTTTATCAATCCCATTTATTTGTATTTTCCATGTGTGCCGATATTTCAATCTTTTTAAAAAACTGAGATAGCTTTTATTTCATATCTAAGAGTTTCTGTAGCATTGGCTATGATGTAAATATGTGTTTGTATATAAATGAGTATCACAAATGAATAAAATTAATTCTACTTTAAAAATCTTAGTTTATTACTTGAACCAAAGTTATTACTACTGGGGCTAAGGTTTACCATGCATGTCTTCTGATACAGTGTGCATCGTTTTCCAGTAAAATACACAGTCACCTGAGATTTAGCCAGCTGACACTGGATGTCACCATTGTGCTGTGTAATGTAGCTGCAGAACAGGTGTGCTGTTTAATATTCAAGACACGGTCAGTCTCTTCAAGAGTTTGGAGATATGTTAGTATTTTTCCCCTCATGTAACCTAATTTCCCTGATTCACTTTTCTTGCAACTTACTTTTGCAGCTTCTAACATCAAAGCTCTCTAGAAGAGTGACCAAGAATGATGACGAAACAATATTCAATATTGTCAGCTCAGAACTCAGAAACTGTGCTGAAACCCATCAGGGCTCTTGGTTGCAAACCTGTCAGTTAAGTTCATTGGCTCTGGATAACAAGTTGAAAAGGAACTTCCCGGTTTAGAAATGGGAGAATCCAGTGTGCTGGTCCCTCAGCCAAGAGCAGGCTATCACAGGAGGAGGAGAGGGTCCTGGCATTGCCACTGGTCACTAGATGTCACCACTGGTGTTCTTGCTCCCTGGACACAAGGCAGCATTCTGTGAGGGACTCTTTCCCTTCTCAGAATAATAATGAGGTTTTCATTGCCGCCAGATTCAACAAGCCCCAGGGCCAATCCCTTTACTGGCATTTCCAGATGGGAGCACCCGGTTGGCTGAGGGTTGGCTGAGTCTAGGTGTTGATTTGAACACCTGGTTGGCTGAGGGTTGGCTGAGTCTAGGTGTTGAGTTGAGTACCTGGTTGGCTGAGGGTTGGCTGAGTCTAGGTGTTGAGCACCTGGTTAGCTGAGGGTTGGCTGAGTCTAGGTGTTGGCCTGTGCTCCAGCCCAAGGGAGTGAGGAAGAAGAAGTCTTTTCCCGCAAAGACTCATACAGGTGGTGATTCGGTGTATCTGAGAAGGAGAATCAAGTGCCAGAGAGGCAAAGCATGCCATGCGTCCACCATGGTGCCTTCGGGTAGCACCCAGAGAAGTGAGTTGAGAATACCAGTGGCAGTCAACTGAATTTTAGTGTCCCTTCTGTCCCCTGACGTCTTGGCACCTGGCAGGGTCCCACACTTTGCTTCAATCCTGAGGGAGCCGTACCAGCCAGGGCTAGACCTGTTCCTGGTAGCTGAGGAGACACCTCCTTGGGCAAACTGGAAGTCTTAACAAGTTTCAGTCTATTAAAAAAAAAAAAAAAGTCCCTGCTACATCAAAAGAAAAGGAAAAAAAATAAAAGAAAAGAAAAGGAAAGTGGTAGGCTACACTGTGTACTTTAGTGTTTCATCGACTACCACTCCAAGCAAATTCCAGCCTCTTCTCCTACTGCCCCTTTGCCTGGAACCCTCATCTCCTGGGCAGCCACACAGCATCTCCTCCTTCCATTCAAGTCTTTGGTTCAAATGCCACCTCTTCAGATGGCCTTCCCTCACCACTCAACCAGAACAGCACCTCCTTTTGTTCTGTTGCCCTTCCCTGCTTTTCTTCCTCACGTTTGTCCCCACCTCTCATGTTCCCAAGTGTTTCATTGTTTTATAACATCTGTCTTCCGTCTGTGCTGAAAGTCTCATGAAGGCGGGGTGTCTGGTGCACCTCTGGGGTCACAGCACCCCACACAGCTCTATTCAATAAACGTTTCATTTATGAATGACTCAATCAAAGGTTAAATAAATGATGAAAATACCGTTGTTAGAAGCTCTGAATACAAGCAGTTGCCTGTACTCATTTCTTAGGACTGCTGTAACAAAGTCCCGCGGACTAAGTAGCTTAAACATAGCAATTGCTTGTCTCACGGTGCTGGAAGCCAAAGTCCAAGGTCAAGGTGTTGGCACGGTTGGGTTTTCCTGAGGCTGTGAGGAAGGGCCTGTTCCATGCTTCTCCTCGAGCTTCTGGTGGTTTGCTTGCAGTTTTGGGCGTTCCTTGGCAGGTAGAAGCATCACCTTGAGCTCTGCCTTCAGCTTTACATTCTCCTGTGTGCATCTGTGTCCGAATTTTTATAAAAACACCAATCGTATTGGATTAGGAGACCAGCCTATGCCAGGGTGATTTTGCCATAACTAATTACATCTGTAATGATCCTATTTCCTAATGAGATCACATTCTGAGATACTGGGAAGTTAGAACTTCATTGTAGGAATGGGGAAGGAGCAATACTCAACCCATAGCAGTGCTTCACATGTGTTTATTGTATAATGGATAAGCCATTCTCACGTCATTAAACAGAGAAGTAGGTTTGCTTACGTTATCCTGGGCGCCCAGGGATGTGTTGGTTTATGGTACAGATTACAATTAATGTATATGAATCACTTTGTAAACTGTAAACTGTTCATTAGACGTTAGCATAATCAGTTGGGGATGTTGATGAATTATTGATGCATTATTGAGAAAGAACTGATACCATGGATTTTCTTGTCTTAAAATCCCAGAAGCAGATCTTCCTTTATAACCTACCTGGGTCTGCAGATGGTTTAAAATATTACCCAGTTCTTCTCTACTACTCAGACTGCTTATCAGCAATAATTGTGGATAATGGATTATTTCATTTACTCATTGGACAAACATACAAATCATTTATTGTGTGCTATGCACTGTTTTAAATGCTGGGGAAATGTTACCTTGCAAACGACCCCATGTTGTTTATTGTTTGTCTCATCATTAGTTATTAATATTATCTGAAATTTGCTGATAAGGAAACTAAAGCCTAAGTGGTTGAGAAAGTTGTGCAAGGTCACACAGCTACTGAGTGGCAGAGGCAAACTGTGAAACCAGGCGGTCTGCCTCTAAACCTTTTCATTGGAGAATGTTCTTTCTTCATGGAAAATCTCATGGAAAAATTCAGTGTGTGACAAAACAAAGCAGAAGCGCTTTGGTTCAAGTTGGGATGGCAAAGCCCTGTCTACTTAGCACCTCCCCTTCCCCTGGGAGCCCTGTTTGAAAAGCCCTGATCTGGGAAATAACACCTCTTGGCGTGATGCCACTTATAAGCTGTCTTCAATCCACTGTAGCATAAAGCAAATAAAATTCTTTTCTCACTTTAATTAACTGATTGTGTTTTATTTTGAAAATTTTATCTGCCTAATCTACTTCTGGCAGAAATAAAATGCTAAGATGGATTTTCCCCAGGATGGTAATGCCATATGGCAATTTGGACTTTGCTGGCTTAAGTTCCCCTTGGGTTTCTTTATACAAATCAAGGACTGTGATCACAAAAATTTCCTGAATCAAAGAAAGGAATGGAATTGGATTTCATTTGAATAGAACTGGATATAAACTTTGCAACCAGATGGGCATAAACTACCTCCTCTGTTATCGGCTGCGTATCTTCTATGGTTATTGATAACATAAAATAATAGGAGCAATGGTATTAACCATTACTGCCCATTGAGTGCCTGCTGCAACCAATGAAGTTCAAAAAACAAAACAAAACAAAAAAAACCACTCCGTTCTACAACTGTAGGTGTTTTATTATCCCTATTTTACAGACAAAGGTAAGTTGAGGCTAAAATTCTACGTAACTTGTTTAAGATGGCCCAACTAGTGAGCGGAAGAGGTTCGATGTTTTGAGAAATATCAGTGATAAAGGAGCCAAATTCCTTGATATTAAGAATAAAAGGCTCAGAAGAGAGTATGTTTAGGACATATAACGTGGGGCCTGGTGTGATTTTCAAATTGTGAAAGACCATGAGAATGCATTTGGGATCGCTCCCAAACACTGATTAACTCCTATGCTGAAACACCTCTCATCATTTGTTAATGTACACGGTGGGTAACATATTAAAAAGGAAAAAAAGGATGCAAATCAATCACATGGGACCGTAGATCAGGGAGAATTGAACCGGAGAACCAAACGGAACTCAGACCACATTGGTTGTTCTGCTCACTTCTATTTTCCCACAGATTTTGCTCCCACTTCTGCTCCATCCTAACCCAGGGGTCAGCAAACTTATCCCATGAAGGACCAGATAGTAAATATTTGGGACATTGCTTGCCACATATTTTCTCTGCTGTTGTAAAGCAAAAGCAGCACAGAGAATATGGAAATGAATGGCTGTGGGTATTGCAAACTTTCAAGTACGAACACTAAATTTGAACAACGTATAATTTTCATGTGGCACAAAATGATGTAGCTGTTTTGATTTTTGTTAAGTGTGTGTGTGTGTGTGTGTTCATTTTAGACCATTAAGAAATGTAAGCACCATTGTGACTTTACAGACTGTGCAAATAGGTGGCAAGCCAGACTGGGCTCACATGCCTGCTGACCACACTCAGGCTTGGTCATCCCCCTCTGGTTTTCAAACACATGGCTTATTGTCTCAATGGGTGTTTCTTTTACTTCAAGTTGCATTTAATTGATGTTTTGGACCAAGCACTTCATCCCAGAAGAGACTTCAGAAGACCAAGTACCAGAGGTACTTGCACTCACATTCTGCAAAAGCAGACTTGCTGAGATGCAGCTGCCAAACGACTTTGGACGAAATAAATAGAAGCCATAGTGGTTGTCTAAGAGGATTTATAATAAAATGGAAAAATCTTGGCATACTCTGTCAATTTCATTGAAGATTAAGAATAAATTCAGGACTTAGAAGTATTCCAATAGCAAGCTAGTTTTAAAGTGATAATAGCTAATACGAAAATTCTTTGTGTGCTTTACCAGCATAGGTCATTGCTAAATTTTAAATATTTTTGTTGTTGTTGTTTTCCTCACCAGGGAAGCCAGCCTTAATGTAATAGAAACACCCTTGAACTTGGTGTCCCAAAGACAAAGGCTTGAGTTTCAGCTCTGTTCGTTTTCCAGTGACCTTGGGTAAGTTACCACCTACAGGAGTCTTGGTTTCCTGTTCAGTAAGGTAAGGTGAATAATCCTACCTCACAGGGCTTTTCATTTTATTGATTTCTTTATTTTTAGTTCTTTACTCTTTATTGGGGAAATTTATAACAAGAGACAAAGTAGAGGAACATAGTGAATTCCATGTGCCCTTGACCTATTTCAGTAATTCCCTGCATTTTTGCCAAATTTCTTCCATCTTTATCCCACCCCTTTTTCTCTCTCTGCTAGAGTATTTTACAGCAATTCTAAATGTAATATTTCAGTATGGATGACTAACAGAAAAGATCTTTTAAAGAATATCATAATTCTAATATACCTAGCAAAATTGCAATGGTTCTTTAACATAACCCATTAACCAATTAGACTTAAAGTTTCCCCAGCTGTCTTAAAAATGTCTTCATATACCTGGTTTATTTGAATCAAGAGCCAAGGAAGATTCAGATATTGCGTTTGGTCACATGTTTCCTTAAGACTCTTCATTTATGGCAATTTTCCTTCTCTTCTTCCCATCTTTCTTCATATAATTTGTGGAAGGAACTAGTTATTTGTCTCATAAAATGTCACATAATTTGGATTTGGCTGATTGCAACCTTCGCCCTTGTAGAGTCATTGAACATTTTCCTCTTGTTCAGATGCTTACTGTCCTTAGATATAGAGGCTTGGTTAGATTCAAGTTCAATTCTTTTTTAAAGCATACTTTGTAGGTGATGCTTTTTGCATGTAATTGTACGACATCTAGAGGACAAAATGTCTGGTTGTCTCTTTCTACTTCTGTCACGATTGATTAGTAAGGTTCCCAGGTTAATGCATTCTTCATCAACCTCTCACCTAGTGATTTTGGCACTGGTTGATGACTGTTGTTTAGATCCATTATTTCAGAAGGGATTGCAAAATGTAGGTCTAATTCTATCATCCACTTAGATTTATTAGCAGGACTTCTTTAAAAAAAAAGAATCAATTATTTGGTTACCATAAAATATAATTCATGCAAGAAAGGCAAGATAAATGCTTGTTGGTGCGTTTATCTCACTTCCTCTTTTGAGCTGATGTTAGTATAATGATGGCCTCTCTCCTTTGAGTTGGATGATGATGGTTACTGTTGGTGGTGGTTTTTCTCCTGTCACCATGATTTCAGGAATTTGTAATCCTTCGTATTTTTCAATCCTTCACAGTCATTCCTCTATCAGATTGGCTTTGTGTAGTATTAAGTCACCTTCTGCCTTCTGGTAGAACAAGATATCTCAGACTTACCTTGTATATTTCTTGTCTCAGACCTAAATCATTCAAGAAGCCATGATTTCTTTTTAGTAGAGAATGATATACTGAGACCATGGTCTGGGCACTGGGAGCATCAATTGCTTATATTTCGAAATTTTTGAGTGGCTGGACCTAGAATACATTTTTAGAGGAAAATAAATCATTATTTTATATTCATAATTTCAGTTTGGATTATAAGGTGTTTACAGAACATTTTTCCTCTAATTGTAGGATTTTTTTTCTCTATGTTCAAAATTTTAGTTCTTGATATTAAGAGAATGACTTTGTGGCTTTATTCTACATCATGCATTTATGTGGGTGAGTGCATGTACATGCACATACACATATACTACTTTCAAAATAGCAATACCAATATTTCCACTAACAATATTATTAATGAGTATAGTTTAAGATTGCTTTTCACTTCTTTTTGTTCTTAGGGCATAGCACACCTGGGATAAATAGCCCCTGGCATGTGTTTTAAAGCCACTTCAAGTAATTCAATAATAATTCAACTTGTTATACAGATATAGTTATTTGTGTATTTATTTCTTATTTTAGAAGGATTTCCTTTTCTCCTATTTAATTTAGTTTTACTTTATAATTAGGTAAAACAATTACATTGTCCAGTGTCAAAACTTAAATCACAGATTTTCCCCTTCTATCCACCTCTCCCTTCTTTTAGAAATTACTATGCTATACATCCTTTATATAACCTTTTCTGCACCATGTCTTTTTTTATTGAATAATGTATCCTAGAGAAGACTTCATAGCAGATTATTCAACTAGTCCTCTTTTTGTGGATATTTAGACTTTTCCCAATATTTTTCTATTACAAATAGTTCTCCAGTAGATGACCTTTATAGGCTCTTGAGAGTTAAAAAAAGAGTATAAAGTGACATATAAGTGAGATATATATATATATATATATATATATGATATATACATATAATTTGTTATAATATATTGTTTTAGTTCCACATTTATTAAGTGCTTACAATGTGCTGGAATATAAAGATGAATAAGATGCAATCTGTAGTCTTAAGTTTTTATAGTCCAATATGACATGGAGTAAAAAGAGACATTTTACATAGTTTCTTCTCAGATAATTTGATTTTTATACTTCTGATCAATGAATGCTTCAGCTGGTGCTGTTTTTATATTAAATTAATTCCTGGATATATCCAGATATCAATAATTAATCACATGTTTTACTATATTTAATTATAGTGCTAATACAGATCTTCTTTCAGTTTATGGACTGTATTATCATATCATCAAAGAAGTTAGTTTTGACTAACTGATTTGTGTTTTCCTAGAGCCGGAATTCACAATGACAACAGTAACAGTGACCACAGAGATTCCCCCAAGTGGTAAAATAAAAAATAACTCTGCCCTGTATGAGTCCACATCAGCTCACATTATTGAAGAAACTGAATATGTGAAAAAGGTATGCAGGTGTTGGAAATCGATCATGATTTTTTAAAATGCAACCTAACATGGATGGGTGGGCTTTGTTTCTCCCTCCATAGAACCTGTGAGGACACATTTGGTAAAGGACAATCCCAGCAGCTGAAATTTCAACACATGTTTGGTAACCTCTCTTGAGGACACAAACCTCTGTTCCCACACATGGCATAAAATTGAATCATGGGCCAGAAGGGTTCACAACACCTATCAGCACTTAATTTGCCCCACACTCTTCACCACTGCACTTCCTACTGTTTTATATCATTTCTCAGTTGTTTCATGAGTGTTGCTACTGTGCTCCCAACTAGATGTTTATGTTCTCTCTGAGTTACTGTCTCTCCTTACCGCTTCCTTTTCACGGTGTTGGGTTGCTCTCCTCAGTGATCACATGTTGGCATGTGACTTCATTACAAATGTGAAATCTTATGAGAATCCAGAGATAATGGCTGACAAAAGTATATATTCTTATGAACTGTTTCTTAGAACAGATAGAAAAATTTGAACCTCGCTAGTTTATAACTTACTTAGATTAATTCATCTTTGAGTGTCTTACAATTCCATAGGTCACTAAGCCATGAGGCTTATATTTCATGCATAAATTTGTATGATCTTCTCTTAGTAATTATTCTGTAGTAATTACTAAATAGTAATTATTCTATAGTAATTGCTAGCTAGTAATTATTCTCTAGTAATTACTAGCTAGTAATTATTTTGTAGTGATTACTAAATAGTAATTGTTTTATAGTAATTACTAAATAGTAAATTAGTACTAAATTGCTACATAGGAAAAATAGAATTAAATAGTATTAAATACTAATTACTAAATAGTAATTATTTTGTAGCATAATATTCATTTAGGTTATATTTTAGGTTTGACTGAGAAAGAATTATAAAGACCAAATGTTCATTTTCGGCAGTCTAAACAATATTAGCCTAAATGCAAGTCAGGTTGATGGCAGTTATTTAAATCTCAGATCAGTGTTTATTATTACTTTCCAGATAAATCAGGTATACTGTAGCTGGTATAAAGAAAAAAAGTATTTGACATTAAATGCCTTTGAAAAAAAATTTAAATATGCTTTTCTTCTAGATCCGAACTACTCTGGAAAAGATCCGAAATCAAATTTTTAAAGACGAAGTAGGACATAACAATACAAATCACAAACTAGAAACAAAGGTAATAAATTGATCAAAATGTACCACTTTATTCCTCCAGTAAATAAACATAAAACAGTATAAGCCCTATTTAAATAACTTTTAAGATAATTATTAAATTATTCTTTGAAGTTTTGAATGATGGATGTTAAATATTTTGTCAGTATCTAAAGATGTTACTGGGCATATGTATGAAATATTTAACCACAGATGTTATTAGCAGGCTCAGATTGGAAGGACTAGACCTTACTTAATATTTTAAATAGGGCTTACTTATCTAAAGTATAAGTAAAGATGTCAGCCCAGCCAGGATATAGGGCAGCAACATTTCTCAAAGGGTGATGGAGGTACAACCTTTTAGGCTCACCTGGGTCATGCCAATGGACACAGAGTCGAAGTTATTAAGCTGTTAGGCCAAGTGATCAGATAATTGATAAACTTGAATGTACCGTCTCCCCTGTGACTGGCCTTATATTCTTAATGTCAAGCAATCTACACTAGCCTTGCCTGGATTGTGCCGGATTAGAGCCCATCTGAAGCCAAGTGCACCTCATCAATACCAATGTTGTCCACTATATAGTGTAGCCATAGAGAATGAAGAACATAGGGTATGAGGCATAAACATTGTTCCCTTTATCATGCTCAGTCTGCCAAACTAACACAACCAGCTCCAAAAATTTTCTTATATTAAGTGCTCAGAAACTAGAAAAAAAGGTTAATGTTTGTGAATGGTGGTAAAGGCCAAAAAAAAATCCATTTTGGTTCTATTGAGTTGTTTATTTCACCTGTAAGTGGAGATTTATCATGGGTACTGTGTGTCTGATTCTGGGGTTGAAGGTAGAGGTTTGGGTAGAAGATCCAGGCCACAGGGCAGAGATTTTAGAAATAAAGATAGCATTTAAATTTATGAAATTGGAGGAGATTGGCAAATGTGAGTGTGGATAGAAATGACGGGGGCACCTGAGTGGCTCAGTCAGTTGAGCATCTGACTCTTGGCTTTGGCTCAGGTCATGATCTCGTGGGTCCTGAGATCGAGCCTTGCCTCTGGCTCCGGGCTCACTCAGGAGAGAATCTGCTTGAGGATTTTTTCCTTCTGCCCCTCTCCTCATGTGCATGGGAGCGCTCTCTCTCTCTCTCTCAAAAATAAATAAACAAATAAATAAATCTTTAAAAGAAATTAAATGGCAGGAAATTGAGCATTTGGTCCTGAGATATCCAACACTTTGGAAGACGAAGAATCCTCACAGCAGGCTGGAAAAAGGCACTAGTGAATTAGAAGGAAAACCGGAAGAGAGAGAGTCACTGAATGGCAAGTGAAAAAGGGTTTCAGCACTATGTCTAATGGTGCCGATGGGTCAAGTAAATTGAGAACTGAACATCCACCATTGGATATCACAATGGAGAGGTTGGTGACCTTGATAGGAGTTAGGAATGGAGATGAATTGTGTTGCCAGTGTGTCTGCCTTGGTCATCTCAAACCTCAAGATAGTCAGCAAATAATGGCCTCAAAGGACCTGCTCCTTCCTCTGCAATATTTACACACACACACACACACACACACACACACACACACAAACAAAACAAAACAAAACAAAACAAAACAAAACAAAACAAAACAAAAAAACGTCCATGTGGGAATTCAGCATACTGATCTAGGGCTTTGCTGCTCTCCAAGTGTAGGCAGTATTCCTAGCAGCAGCAGTACCAGGGAGCTCTTTAGAAACACAGCATCTGGAGCTCCACCCCAGACCTTGTGAATCAGAATCTGCATTTTAACTGGATCTATCACCAAGTGACTCATATACACATCAAAGTTCAAGATGCACTAATCCATGACCTTTGCAGCTATCTACTGCTGCCAGCAATCTACCTTCTACAAGACTCTTTCCATGGAGTATTCTTTTACAAATTAAAAACAAAATTACTTATATAGGGAGAGTGAGAGTATATAGTAGGGTATGGAGTGGAATAAACAAAACCATGATGGAATTACAGGTCTTTAAAATTTATATATTTATATATATTATTTATTTCACTATATTATTCTCTGCTTTTTTATTTCTGTAAATGTAACCTATATTTTGTACTGGAAAGAATATTGCCTTTGTTAAACAAACTTGGGTTCCAGTTCTGGTCCTGGTGGTTGTTTTAGGTATAACCTCCTAAAATACTAGAAAACACTTACTAATATTGCTAGTAAGCTTACTAGTGAAACACTCTCATCTTCAATTTTCTCCTCTGAATAATGGACATAGTGCCTTCTAGTGTTTGCAGCATTCAGACAAAGGGGGCTTTATAAAACCTCTAAAAGATTACCTGGCACATAATAGGTGCTTACTAAATAGAAGTCTAAAAGGAAGTTATTATTTTATAATTGTTTCATTTCAGGGTATGTAGAATTGTATATTGCCTTGAAATAATTTGGAAGAGCAGAAAGCATAGGTAGGATAGATACTCAAGAGGCTGTTTCATGTACTCTCCCACTTACCGTGTTAACTGAGGCTCAGTACCTCACTTTTGATATCCGTAAAATTGATGTAGTTGAGTTAGATAGTTTCAAATTATCTTTCCACTTCCACATGTCCTTGATTCTAGATAAGATTTATTTTATGCTCTCTAAGTTTATTTTCAGTAGGTAAGAGTTTACACTGGTCATGCTGGCAATAACATTCAGTTCTGATATCTCTGGAAATTTAATATGGGGTGATTACAGTGAAGCATCATTGAACATTGACTATTTTGTATTGTAACTATTAGGTCCGATTATATTCGTTTATAATACAATGTAACCAAAATGCATCTCTGTCTGCAACTTAGATTAAAAAAAGGGGGGGAAATAGGCCTTGTGAATATTATATTTATCTCCCAAAAAGGACTTAATGGTATATTTAAAACTATAGGGAATAAAAACTATAAAAGATATTCCTCTACCTTTTTTTAATATAAGAACCTAATCAAATTTGAGCAAATACAGAGGCCAGCTGCTTCATCTAGAATTCCCCTTTGATATTTGAATTCAAAATATTTATTTTATTTGTGCTGACCTGAATGGTTTTTGTATATATATTAGTAGTGAGTGATAATTACTGTTGTCAAAGTTTGTAGAGGAAAAGAATAGTCAGGTTGACGATTTTCATGTTTGTTCATTTCAGCATTGTCGAAACATTCAGAGTGGCTCGGATTTTGAAATGGATCCCTCTTTTCGCAGTTTGGATCTGCTCATGGAAAGGATGAAAGGGAAAGAACAGCAGCTCTTAGAAATGAACAAAGAAAATGAAATATTGAAAATAAAGGTATGGCTATCAGGAGAAATTTTTTTTTTTTAAGATTTTAATTTATTTGTTATACGGGGAAGGACAGATGGAGAGGGAGTGAAAATCTCAAGGAGACTCCATACTGAATGTGGGGCTCAATCTCACAACCCTGAGATCATGCATGACCAGAGCTGAAACCAAGGGTCAGATGCTTAACTGACTGAGCCACCCAGGAGGAATTTCTGGTAGTTATTTTAGGTGTAGGAGAAATTTCTGATTTTGTGTTTTTGGGCCTTTGAGCCAATAAGATAGTTTCATGGATGTGTAAAAGCAGACAGACATCCTTCCACATCCACGGATCCACATGTATGCTCACCTTCATAGAGAACCACTTTTCCATTTTATAAATTAAATCTCACTGTTCTATTTTGGAGACTACTTTTACTGTTGAAAAGATTTTACAAAAGTTGAACGGATATAAAGTTTCGGTTGTGCGAGATGAATCAGTTCTAGAGATCTGCTGTTTGGTACTGTGCCTGTAGTTAATACAGTGTCATACACTTAAAAATATGTTAAGAAGGTCGGTCTCATGTTAAGTATTCCTCCTAAATAGTTTTTTAAAATCTTTCATATTTAATAAATATTAATTAGAACGCTCATAGTCAAATGGCTCATTATTTTGTTTAATTAACCTATTATTGGATGCTTTATATATTCTGGGTTGGGGGGTTATTATATTTGCAGTCCTGCAATGAATATTTCTGTAGGTAAATCGTTGTGGCCATTCTTGATTATTTCTTTTGGTTAAATCCTGGACACTTGCCTTAATACTCACATCTTGTCCCACTGCTGTCTTAGGAAAATACATCTTTTTAGTATCATGGACATCAACGATAAAATGTAAATAAGTGTATAAGCTGATGAGACACTGTGGAACTCTTTGAAGGGTGCAGTCTATAAGTGCAGGGCACTGATTGTGGAGCTTTGGTTTGGCCTGGTCGGTGCAAATCCTTGTGCATGATAGTTTCCCTAAATAGGATATTTCTCATTTTACTTTTTCCTCTTACTAGGTAATAGTGTCTTTTCTCCTATTTGCTGTATAGGAGGGTGCGAATGGTACAGTTATGGCCTCTCTGTTTTCAGTCACCTATCAGACTGTTCTGACTTTAATCCTTTCTACTGTAAATGCCAAAACATACGTGACCTCTTTTTCTAGCTGGAAGCCTCCAGAGAAGCAGGAGCAGCGGCTCTGAGAAACGTGGCCCAGAGATTATTTGAAGTCTACCAAACACAGTCTGAAGAAGTTAGGAAGCAGCATGAGGATGGTAAACGCTTACTGGAGGTACTGGGTTAGCAGCTTGTCTTTTGGAGAATTGACACCCCAGAGAATGTGTATGTGTATTGGTTCACGTCTCCCTTTTTGAGGTTAGATGTGAAATAAGCAATGGCCCCATGTCTTTGGCAAGCCTTGGACTGGGCAGGGTGCCCATCTTCTGTCCTGATCTCTCCCCACATCCTGCTTAGCCTGGCACCCAGACATTGTTCAGCTGTGGTGTTGCCACTCTTGCCCGAGGCCCCATGGAGCACAGGTGGGAGGAAGCTGGGCCACCCTGTCTAGAAATCAGGGCTGTCCCAGGGACACTGGCCAGTGACTCCTCTCCTGGTTCTGCTTTTGACTAAGTAGATGACCTAGGTAGAGTCATTTTCCCCTCTCTGGAGTTGGATTTCCTTGTCTCTAAAATGAAAGAGTTGGGCTAGATCAATGGTTTCAAGATGGTTTTGACCCTGTCCTAGAATACATTCTTCAAATTTAAAAAAAGTATCTGTACATTTATATTTTAAAATACATATTTCATATTTCAATATATAACTCTATAAATTAAAATATTTTAAAAACAAATATGTATACATGTGTCTATATGTGTGTGTATACATATGCATAGACATACACATATAAACACATGCATACATTTTTTGGTTTATTTTTAAATCTGACGTATACATTTAAAATGTCCAATGACCAATACACCATTATTTGAAAAATGAATTCTAGGATTGGGAAAAGGAAGAAAGAAATGTGTGTATGTTTGTGTGTGCGAGTGTTTATATGTATATATTCACCAAAACTCCAAATAGGGAAGCTCATTCATGCTGGGGTGGGGTACGTAGGCCTCTGACAGCTCAGGCCCAGAAGAGATCTCCACGGGATCATAGTAGGAAATCCGCTGTGCAGGTGACACACTTTCATGCTTCTGTGCTGGTGATGGTCGGAAACTCACATGCATGTGAGGGTACAGATAAAGAACTGTAGTGAATGAAGTGAGCACCCAAGTGCTCCATGTGAGTGAGTGGTCGGCCTATAGGGAAGGGAATGCATGTGTTCTGCAAATCCTGAGGATGCCTGGCAGGAAAGCCCTCCTGGTGTTTCCAAAGGAAAGAAACTAGATACTTTTTTTCTACTGTAAAATCTCATATTTTATTAAATATAAATGCCGATGTGTGCATGCATGTCAGTTAGAAGTCACTTGAGACACTCAAGTGTGGCCTGTGGGCTGCCAGATGAAGACTTCACTTCTATGATCTTTAGCACCGTTCCTGCTATAGGACTGGGGAATAACCCCCAACACAGTGGGGATCATTATTCTGCTTTTATGACGCTTTCTGATTAAAAATAAAACATTAAAAAGTGAAACATTTTTTACTTGAGCATCTAAGATTTTAATTCTAATTAAATTTCATTGAGAAAAAGTTAAAAATCTTGCTTTTCTTAAATTAGCATCTGTCTTTCTTATACCAGTCGGGGTAGCATGTTTTATGGTAACAAATGTAAACATTCTAGAAATAATGCTGAAATATTATTAATTCTATATTGTTTAGTGCTGTTGCAGCCCATTGAGTTTGTTTTGGAGGAAACACTAAATTCAAAAGAGTAATTTGAATGAAGTGTGAATAATTAAATTTTTTGGTTACTCAAAATTATAGAGGGCAATACTATCTGTATAAACTTAATAAAAACAATAGTTTCACCATTGTCTTACTGACCAAAGGTTAACAAACTTGAAAAAGAACAGCAATTGAAACAACATGCTGAAAATCTGAATCAAATTGCTAAAAAGCTTGAAGAAAAACATAATCAAATCACAGAGCTGGAGAACCTTGTGCAGAGGATGGAAAAGGTGAGCCCCTGGGGAATTAGAAGAATTTCTTCCAGACAGGGTTAGGGAGAGAATGAAAGAAAATAACACTAAAATAAATAAGATATATAAATCTATATAATTTATATATAAATATGAATTTATTTATTTATAAATATAATTTATAAATTTATATAATTAAATGTATTAATGTAATAATATATATTTTTTTTTAGCAAGAGAGTATGCATTGCTAGAGCAAGCAGGGGGAGGGGAGGGGCAGAGGGAGAAGGAGAGAGAAAATCTCAAGCAGACTCTCCACTGAGCATGGAGCTCAACATGGGGCTTGGTTTCACGACACTGAGATCATGACCTGAGCCAAAATCAAGAGGAGAATGCCCAACCGACTGAGCCACCCAGGTACCCCTAAAATACATAAAATATTAGTTGAAAATGAGTACACTTTTCGACAACTAAGACTTCAGAAAGAACTCAGTAATGTTAGTCCCTCCCCTTACACACTTAACATGGTCTGTTCTGTCACTAATTGGCCTTTCTCCAAATGCTGCAGTCATATCATCCTCTGTCACTTTCTCTCTCTGGTGTATGTATGGCTTAGAAAAGGGAAGCAGGTGAGACTGTGAGTGGAAACAATGGGAACAATCACAAAATCCACCTATTGGTAATCATACAGTGGATCCCTGTAATCATAGCATTTCTGTGTATTAGAGTCAGTGAAATATCCGTTCTTTGGCCACCCAAGCTCACTTTAGGATTGTGAATACCTCTGACTGCATCGGGACGGATATAATTCACATTAAGGAAAGACATCCTATAGGAACTGGAACTTCCGTAAGAGACAATTTAGGGAAGAGTAGTGACAGAACAAAAATTATTAAAAATTTCATGAAGTATGCTTTTGAGTGGTTGACACTCCAAGCATATACAGATGGTGAGCATATAGATTTAATTATGCATCCATTAGAATTTAGAATACAGAGAAATCAAGGAATACTGAGTTTTTAATAGAAAACAAACAGACAGAAAATTGGGCTCTTTAAAACTGGATTTGGGGTAGATTAAGAATATAGGTTTGCGGGTGTCACCTGGCTGGTTCAGTCAGTAGAGCATGCAACTCTTCATCTAGGGTTGTGAGTTTGAGCCTCATGTGGAATGTAGAGATAGATTACTTTTAAAAAATCTTTAAAAAAAATAGGCTTTGACTTCTGGCAAATATTGCCCAATAAATTCTTATATTTATCATAATTCCCTGATTTGCCTCCTTCTCAGCCTTATTCTGTTTTATGTCTGCATGAGTTGATGCCATTTTAGAAATGTCACTTCAAAAGTATCACATTTCAATATTCAGGTTTCTTGCCAAAGGAAATTTGATTAATTTGTTACATATTTCCCAATAATTTAATTTATAATACTGAGTTTGGTTGTATCTGTAATCTCAATGAAGGTCCTACGAGGAAATCACAAAAATTAAATAAACCCAAATTTAACTAAATCTAGTACTAATATATAGCTACATCTGTGTTGTGTGTTGGGTCACTGAAGATTTTACTGTAGCCAAGAATCACTGGGCTAGAATGTCCTCAAGTAGCTGGTTGGCTAGTATGACAGTTTATAGTTTTAATATTTTGGACAAACTGTAACATTTGGATGAATACTTTGTAGCATTAGACTATTTATCCTATAATAAATAGTTGAGCAAATTAAGCACAAAGAGTGCTTGCATTTAGGAAAGGAAGACAATTCTGGAATGCAAATAGGATTGATTAACCAGCTTTCCTTTAAATTGAGACTTGTGATCACCTCAAACCCAGTAACACTGGGTCAGGTTTAGTAGCCAGCTGTCTCTGAAAATTAACAACAGAACAGTGGAATATAGTTTCTTTTTCCCAGAAACCCTGTGAAATCTGCACTGGATGTGAGTTCATCTCAGAATTCTGAGTTACATACACTTGACTGTTCGTTCAACACTTATTTAAGCACACACCGTGTCCCACGCAGAGCTAGAGGCTAGGTATCTATTTGTGAATGTCTCTTTATGGAGATTGCAGTGTAGTATATCTGGGTTCTGTGGGACTAAAGGAACTTCCCATATCTCTCTCATCATTCATTCTCCTCCGGGCCCCTAGGGAGGCACACATCCATATTGAAAAGCAATTTTGAGAAACTGACTATTTACAGGCATTTTGAAAAAAAGGAATATAGAATTGGATTACTAGAATAGCTACAAAGCTGGTTTACCCCAGAATAAAGTTGACTGGCTTAGATACTGGCAGACATTTTTGAGAAGTGATAGCCTAGCATTTATCTTTTTTTGTTTGTTTTTGTCATTTTTGTTTTTGCATTTATTTTGATACTGACCCATAATGGTGGGCTGTCTCTAGGTGTCTGTGACAGAGTGAGTGGACAGGATGTCCATGGTTCATGGCCATGCAGGAACCTTCCAGAATATTCTAGTTCAGTAATTAGAGTGAAGCCCATTGGAATCTAGGATAGGTGGAGATAGGTGGAGATGGAGTGGAAGGGCACTGTGCAGGAGTTTTTTTTAAGATATATTTAGTTTAAAGATAATGTGATATTTGTAAAACAAACAAGCGAATAAATAAAACTATAAGAAACAAAACTTGGCAATGTCTTCTTGTGTTAAGATAATATTGAGAATGCTTTTAAGGCTGTGATGAAGGGTTCCTCAGGTGAGGGTGTGTGTCAGAATGAGGGAAGGGGGAACTCTAGATTTTTGTGTTAGTAGGAAAAAGACATGAGTTCAGAAAGGAAATGAAAATTAAAAATGAACACCCACAACAAAGGTTGATAAATATTGCCCTGGTAGTGGGTGGCCCCTGGAGAAGGATTCATTTTCTACTCACTTGAACAAGCCACTGCTCCAGTAAATAGCCATTAGTGGTATGAGGTCTGGTAATGAACACATTACTTAAAACCTTCACCATCTGTCCCACTTTAATCAGGAATGCAGTGAAAATGAATTCCGTAAACACAGTGATAAGCCAGCAAAAACGCCCAATAAGAACATTTTAATATGGCATATGTTCCTTTTGCTAGCAGTGCAATTCTGTTGCATCATATTTGTTTTCCAGTGTCATTGATTTAGCTCTATTAGAATTTTAGAGCTCAAAGGTGCTTTGGAGACCACCTAGTTCCTCATCACCATTTTATAAATGAGGACAGTGGGAACAAGGAACGATTCCACTGTCCTCCAGTTACCAGTTCAAAATGCTTTCCATTATGCCTCTATCTTCTCTGGAGTCAGATAAAAATGATATACTTGGTTCCTAAATCATTTAGATGTTAACATATGGCAATTATTAAAATGGTGTCTACTGCACGTTGATCAATAGGGCCAGGGAACTCTTGAGCTCCCCGGAGGTGCAGTTTTGGGAAGAGTGCATTGCCCACTGGGTGGTGCTGTGAACTCCTTTCCTTTTCCAGGATACACTGTCCCTGAGAAAAAGTGCTAGCCAGTGTGGTGTGACTTTCTCTGTTGTCAGAGAGGAGGCACTAAGAGCCCAAGCTACATGCTGGAGCCTTGGCCATGCACAATGTTTACTTGTCCAGTTGTCCGGTCTGCTTGGACCCTCGTTATGAAGATCCATTAATTGAGAGTAAGTCCATTAGGAAGAATGTGAAACTGCATTTTCCTGCCTACAAAATCAAAATATATTATCAATAATGTGTTTCTTTGATTATCATAATAAGCTTACAAGGCATACCTGTGATCCCTCAAAAATAATTTGAACACATCAAGGGAACACAAGGGTGATTCCTATGTGACAAGAATACTACAGGAAAATATGGAAAAAGTTAATATAAACTTGAAAAATAATAGCACATAGGTAGGAAGTGTTTGGCGCCTTCAAATTATTATTAATTGAGGTCCTCACAAGTGTGAGAGAAGCATATGGGCCTTTCACATGTAATATCTCCGACCATCCCAACATTCCAATATAGGTAGTATTATTACCCCATCTTAGGGATGTTCAAAAAGTCATGACTCAAAAAACCAGGGCTCAAACAAATATAGAATGAATCCATGTCAGATGTTTTACTCAACTCATTCATTAATAAGGGAACCAGTAAGATGGTAAAGGTGGCTTCGACAGGTGATTTTGAGAAACTGACTATTAGGCATTTTGAAAAAAGGAATATAGAATCGGATTACTAGAAAAGCTACAATGCTGGTTAATATTTTTCAAATCAATTAAACCATAACCTGTGGGATTATCTTTTCTACCAGGCAGGAATCTACAAATGAACATGCAACTTCATAGAGTCAGGGCTCTAATCAAATCATAAACAATAAAGTCAAACACAGAGCAATTCTCCATGAGAACTGGTTATTTAACAATGACCCAATATGACATTAAAATCATATATTGTTTTGATTTCCAAGTTTTAGCTAGTTTTTCTTAACAAAGATAAGGCCCTGGGAGGCTAAAGCCTTGGCAAAAATTATATAGTCACAGTTTCAAAACTAGGTCAGTCCACATCCAAAGAGATTCCCGCATTTTTGCTCTACAACACTGCTTTTCGCATTTTACCCATATAAACACCGTAGTAGGAATGGTTTTAAACAGCATTTTAAACAGTGTCAAAGCATCTCTTACCATTAAATATTTTTTAAAAAACCCACCATCATCCCAGCTTGATTTCTCATGGACTTGTTATTTTCTTTTGAATGGAAAGATTTTGTTCAATAATGACACTCAGATATTTCTTTAGCTTCTCTTTCTCCATGTCAAAGTTTCTCTTATATTCTAGCTGGAAAGTGACTTTATTACTTGTGGCTTTGATCCTTCACTAAAGATTCATATACTACTTTTCTGCTTTCTGACAGATGCCATGTAAGCAGGTAGGGGTATAAGGCCAATAGTGTCCTTGGGTACTAGCAACTCAGTCTGATGTAGGAGAAGCAGGTGGAATGGAGGAAGAGCCAAAGCCTAGAGAGATGAGCTTGCCGTTTGCATTTGGGGTGTGATGGAGAGAACCAGGACTTTGAGCAGGGTACACTTCAATAGTTGGTTGGAGGAGGAGCAAAAACTCTCCAGGCAAATTAGAGGAGTGAAGACAAGTACAGTCACTGAGCTGCTGGGAATGCCTGGCCCGGTCCCACTGGGGTCGGTTGTAACAGCACCATCTGAAATCAGCTCTTTAGCTCAAAACATATTTCCAATATTATGAGAAGTGTCTTTTGTGAACAGTTTGCAAAAATGACTTAGCAAACACACAGAAACACCAAACACACACACACACACACACACACGCGGATAAATAAATGAAACTGTATATTTTATTTTCTCCTAGGAAAAGAGAACACTGCTAGAGAAAAAAGTGTCTTTGGAAAACAAGCTGCTGCAACTCAAAGCCAATGCTACGTGTGCTAAAAGGTTTGCACATCTCTCTCCTTATTAAAGGGGTTCCTGACACCTGTCCTTTCCCCTGGCTAGCAGGCTCCCAGGACACAGGAAGACTGACAGTGCAGGACAACAGGAGCTTTCCTGGTATTAACAGCCACGTGCCTCCCCTCCATCCCACTGGGGAGTCAGGGAGGAGCAGAGGTCCCTGGGGGTACAGGCTTACTCCTTCTGCAGAATGAATGAGCCCGTCCCTTCCCTTTTTACCCTGGGTGCTCACGAGGATGCTGTTGAGGCCTTCAATCCCCCCGATGCTTCTGATTTTGTTACCGGGCCCCTGCTATAGCCGGCAGCAGATCGGCTAGCCCACAGGTGGAATTGCAAGATCATTTTATGGTGCTCCCCAACTTTGCAGAGAATGAAGGAACCACTCTGAATGCATTCTTTGGACTGACAGGTGAATACTCATAATCCACAAGCTGTTACAGTCCTTAGTATGGGGGTGGCGTGGGTCACGGATATCACCCAACTGCACTACTTTGATGCTGTTAGAAAAATTCTCTGGAACATCATGTAATAACTTATAAAATATAAAATTCCCTCACTTCCCCCCCTTCCCTTCCCTTCTCTTCTAATTCTAAACCTGCCACTGTTTGTTATATGTTCTGATATAATGTTCAAAGTCAAGTCTATTTTGAGGTCTTATTTCATCCATCTGGAACTATTGCTCCGTTGGGTAAGGCTCACCATGTGAGCCATAGAAGGTACAAATTCTTCTCATTTATTCAATAATATATACTCAAATATCCCCCTCTCTTGGTCTTCGATTTTTTTTTCTGCTTCTCTTTCCTTTCCCATTATCTATCTTTCTCTTCTCATCTCTCATAAGCAGCTTCTGCCTTCTGTCTGGTTCATGTTCTTCTGTTGGACCACATGTGGCAAAGTCCATACCTGCACTGACCCTGGCAATTGCACATACATATTCAGAGCACACTGGAATACCACTAATATTAATTTACCTGTATTTGTGAACAAGCATCTAGTCCCAGGAGGTGACTTTCTAAGAGAGCGCAGGATAGCACTGCACATGTCCGTAGAAAATGAAGGAATACCGTGGAAGACATCCCTAGGTCTTCAGAATTATTTGCATATGCTCGTAGCTTAAATTCTTAATAAACCCGTGGATTATGTTTTCTTTTTTTCTCCTGAAAGAGAGAGCCTGCCCATGCAGCAGAACTATTGGCAAGAGCCTGGACAATCTGAGTTTGATTTTTTTTTCTTTAAAAATGATTTTTATTGATAATGGGGTTTTTGTCAGTCTTTGAGCCCAAAATGTAACCATTTAAAAAACCAAACTGAACTATTCTTTCTGTTCCATTATAAATGAGCGGTTGTTAGAAGGAATTCTCAGAAAGCTCTTAGGGAGGTTTTAGAAATGTCTTGAGGGAAATGGATGTTTTGTGTTTCTAGAAAGGTGTTTGAACATCAAGGCTTACGCAATTTTCATGGATTGTAGGCATCACAAATATTTATCTTACTTATTACTTTGTCTGTGTGTGGAGGTATTCACTCTGCTAAGTGACAAGAAAATGAAATCAGTAGGAGTCAGACTCTTTGGGTTAAAGCAATAGAGACTTGCTTAAGCTACCAAGGAAGAGGATTTCTGGTGGGTTAAGACTGAATAGATCTGGCCATAAAGAAGATGCGGCTCCGGGGAAGACAGGAGGACCACCCTTTAGCACCTAATGTATTTTTAAAAGCCAGATTATTTTGTTGCTGTTATTCATTCTGTGGGTTTGTAGAGTTTCACTCTTCCTCTTTCTTTGTTTTTCCTGTGTGATTTCTTGAAGTTTTGGGGTGTGTTTTTTTTTCCAGCTGGCTTATCGTCTTTATTTTCCTTTCAAATTACAGAGGGAAGAGTCTACTGGCCTAACATCACCTCCTCTGCTGGGCAGATTGCTTATGTTAACCAACCCCTATGTTGTCATCTAAGCAATGGCCTTTTGGCAGGCACCAGCTCCCAGTCCTACAGGGGCCTTTCCTTACCCCCCAAATAGCCTGGAGCTTCTCCTCTGGGCAGGGGGCCCTGGGTGATTAAGTTCCCTGGAGGTAGGCTGGTGGGTATGACAGGTGGCATGACTTTCTGCCATTTTGATGAAAGATTCAGTATGTTCTAACCTGGCATTTCTAATATCAAAAAAGCATCTCTAAAGAGGATGACTTTTAAGTATTTGTGATTCAGGAGAAAATGACAGGTTTTTTGCATATGGATATGAATATATAATTATAATATATTATGCTAATCCCCACAATTACTTTTAACAAGAGTCAAAAGATTTGGCACAAGCATCTCATTAAAAACAAGGTTGACTCTGTACTTGGACTGCCGTCTACTAACCGGCACGTGTATTATGTTTTGCTGTTTATAGAGTCAGCCCAGGTACCTTATTTAATTGAATCTTTTCTTTGACTTTTCAGGAGGAGACTGAGATTCTCATGGGTGAAGCGATTATACAACTCAGAAGGCGTAGAATTGGGGGTGTTGGGCTCTAGAACTGCCACAGCAGCCCGTGCTCATCCTGCTACAGAGATTTGACCTTGTTTCATTTCTGGAGACCCCTGGAGGCTTTCCCCCAGACTGGCTTCCTAATTCCCTGCTGTGTCTGTGAGCAGAAGGCAGTGTCCCAGCTTGTCCCTCTGCCCTGTGACATCACACACAAACACAAAGGTCCGATTTAGAGTGACCTTTCGGAGAAGCACAGGAGCTGTACCTCAGAGAAACCCTTTAGGACCCAATAGCACAATGCCAGAAAACAATTCAACCCAAACCACTCTAACAGTGAGGAGCAGAGGGCAAAGTGGCATGGTCAAATCATGCTGCCCTCTGACGGTGTAAGTCACCCCATGTGGATCCTAAAGTATCCTGATGGATGGGTAGAAAGACTATCAACTTCCTCTGACCAAGTGTTTGGTAGACATTGGCCATCAGAGTGCGGGAGGGTATGCCTCTTGCCGAGTACCTACCCCACAATCAGCCCATATTATTAAAGGCTGAGCCATTTGTTCTCACCTTTCTGTGAATTAATGATAGAATTGATTTACCTTCTTGAACATGAAGGAATCTAAAAGAAAGAATATCAGAAATGGTGCTCTGTTCACTCTCTGCCAGTGCTGATTGGTGACAGGATCCTCTGTTCCCTTCCTCAAAAGAATAGGGCCAAGAGTTTCCTCTCTTGTTGATGGGGCTTTTCTTGTTTGCTCTGTTTGGCATTTCCAGGCTGCAGACTTTTTCAGCTCCAAGTCTGGGATATAGGAGGCAAAAGAGAAACCCCCCAGGGAACTCACCATTGTGTTGTGCCTCGGACTCCAAGGTCCTGAGCTGGTCGGCCTTCTCGCCACCTTTCGGAGTCTTCTTGTGTTTGTTGACATATCATCTCCAGGCTTTTGGTTGTATTCAGTGGGAAGGTTAGGGAAGGATGCATGTACATCTTCCCAAAGTATGAGATTTTCAATTCTGTTTCAATTTCAGCCTTTGCTTTATATTGAGGCATTGGGAGGCAGGGCAGGAATGAGACATCTCTTAAAGGCTTGGCGTCCTCTTCCAGGCCTGGCCTTTGTAATGTTTTCTTTCTGCTGTTTTGCTTTAGTGCCTCTTTATCAAGACTGAGTTGCTTTAACAGACAAATGACAAGCAGGGATTATAGGGAGCTCAAGAGACAGTTTACTTCAGTATATTTTCACAGTTAAAGACCTTGAACGCGGGTTTCATATTTATCGAACAATCCCAAGAGAGAATTTCTTCAATTTCTGTTACTCCCTCTTCTAATATATTAATCCAGATGAGTGTGAAAGCCCTGTGTTTTCAAGAGTGCTTCTAGAAATTATTTTCTTCCCTCTTGAGCCCTATTTCAGGTTTCTATTTCTCTATTTCTCTACAGTGACTTCTATGGTAATGGCATCACGGAATACGTGGGGAAATTTCCTGAGATTCGTATTCTGAGGAGCTCAACATCTACCACACCCTGTTTTCCTAAACCACCCTTCTTGCCCCTTGGTCTAAGTTCTGGGTCATCATAGGACACAATGAGACCATTATGAATACTCATCCTTAACATCTTTGTTTGTTTTATTTTATTTTTTATTTTTTAGCTTTTTTTATGGGGTTGTGAACACCTTATGAGTATTCAAAGCCAGCCTGCCTCTGTGAGGCATCCTGAGTTCTTTCTCCTTATTTCTCAAGGAAGTCCTGAGTCTGACTGGTCCTTCCCTCCTCTATTTTTTCCTCCTCATGGGAGCATTCTTAATCTTAGCACCACCAGCTGTGGGGCAGACTTCTGTTTGCCTTCTCTGCTGTTTTGGTCCATATGTCCTCATCTCATTTTGTGTGTGTACAGTATCTCTCTAGTCCCTTTCTAATTTTTCTCCCAGGGTGTCTGTTCCATAGATAGGCAGATGTATCCTTATGTGTATTCTGGGTACAATGCCTTTGTTAGTCATTGAAGTTACTGAGATGCTGAGGCTATCCTGTTCCCTCTTATTTGATGGCTACAAGTTTTTCATTTTTGTCTAGACAAAATTATCAGTCTTTCCCTTTGTGGTTGATACAGTTTTGAGTTCTATTTTTAAAAATCTTTGTCTATCACAAATTCACGAAGATGTCCTTCTATATTATGTTCTGAAAGTCTTCGGGTCCCCAGCTTTATTTACCATCTACATGGTATTTATTTTTCTTATGAGGTGAGTTTAGGATTAATTTTCTTTTTTTATATGAATGTAGAGTTGTCTCAGTACCATTTGTTGAAAGGGCCATCCTTTTTATAACATTCTGCAGAACCATCTTTGATACAAATCAAGGCTGTTGGTCTATCCCTGTGATATACGTGTATCTAAAATAAAAGTGGCACAGCAGAATTTGTTTAATTAGTCTTCTACTGATGAACATTTAGAGTATTCTAATTTTTATGCTACGAACAATAATGAGCTACATTTTACATCTGTTTTATATAATTACACAGCATTTTTATAGTAAGAATTATTTAATTCCATAGGATAAATAAATAGTAATGGCTGTCAGTTATGCAATATTCGTATTTGCGCAAGTATGTCTATGGTTTTGTAGAAATTAGTTTTCTACGGTAAAACAAATGGTTCTTAAGCTGTCTCATGCAAAACCAAAAGAGGGGGAAAAAATAAAAGACTATCTTAAATATTCGAGGATACTCCATACTAGAAGTTATTCACCCACCATCAGCGGTTCAGCGCTGGGCTATTCACAGTGTGGACAAGCACTGTCACTGGCAACAACCCTGAGCCCATTGGAAACATAAAATCTCAAGCTCTACCCCAGCTTCCTGGAGCAGATGTGCATTTTAACAAGATCCCTCATGATTTAATATGATCCTCCAATGCATACAAAGTTCGAGAAGCAATGTTTTAGTACGTGATGTGAAACAAAATGAGACTCTCTGGTTTTTGAATGAGAACGTGTTCCATAGTGTCACATGACTGTCTACTTCCTTCATAATACTTGCCAAGGCTATAAAAATCAGAATTGTAGTTGCATTGGATGTTGGCTACTAATTATGAAACCTTAATAGCTACAGAAATATTAACATATTGTTGTGTAAAAAGCTTTTTCTCCAAGAGCATATTCACTTACCTTCTGAAGTCCACAGTATGTTCTTGTAAAGAAATAGAAGTAGGAATTATTCTATCTGTTGAGAATAAGAATAATTGAGGCTGAGAAAGCTTACGTGAATCCTGTCACGATGCTCCCAAGTTTGGTGACCTTGTCACAATGCGCGCTGCCTCAGAACTCCAATAATATTGACAAGAAGAAAATATTGGCAAGTCAAAAGCTGTTTAATCAATTCCAGTTACCTAAATGGAGTTTTGGAAAAGTGTAAATAATCTAAATTTAAACTTCATCTGTCTTTCTTTTTTTTTTTTAAGATTTTATTTATTGAGAAAAATTGGGAAAGAGAGAAATAGCATAAGTAGTGGGGAAAGACAGAGGGAGAGGGAGAAGCAGGTTCCTCGCTGAGCATGTTCCCCAACTCAGGGCTCGATCCCAAAACCCTGAGATCATGACCCTGAGATCATGACCTGAGCTGAAGGCAGACGCTTAACCGACTGGGCCCTCCCAGACCCCCCAACATTTTTCTTTTCTCACAATGGTTGATGTGGACTCAAACTATTTGTTGTAATTTAATTTCCTTTTTTTTTTTTAATACTCCATTTGCAGGTAGTAGAATGACCCAAAGCAGAAAGCCAAAACAATAATAGTCATTAAGAATAATAATAATAAAAGACAAACACAGGCGACCTACAATATACACTAACTGCACCATTGGAAGCTGGTTTCCCATTAGAAGTAAAATCTCCATTCCTGGCCCCCCATGTCCTAGCCTCACATCCTTATGCAATTATCTGGGCATTCTGATGAGTGCTGGGTCTGTGGGTGCTCCCTAGGCAAGACAGTCTAATTGTGTGAGTGCTTCCTTTGCTTAACACAGCTTGACTCAACCACTTCCTGGAGGGAGAGAAGTCACAGATGGCCAGGAGGGAGCTTCTGACATGAATGGATATACTCATTCCAGGGCCTGTCTGAGCTAACCAGAAGCTGCTCTGCGGCTGCGTACTTTCCGTGTCCTGTGTGGCATATGGGGCCCCCAGCATCTTTCCCACAGGATGCCCAGTAAGAGGGTCCTGTGTGAGGGGAGCCTGGCAGCCCCACTGCAGAAAGTGGCTTCGCGATGCTTCAGCCAGTCTTTAGCTCTCTTTTTCCTTTTGCATTTCCAGTTGCCACAATCTTCAGATGGAGATTTCCCTTCTCCAAGAGCAGATCTCTCATCTGCAGCTTGTGATTCATTCCCAACATCAGAACCTGCGCAGTGTCATCCAGGAGGTCAGATTAATCAAGTGTGTTTCTCTGGTAGACGGTATGTGTGCAGTGAGACGACGGAATGCAGGCAGCTTGCCTGGACTTTACACGCAGTGAGATTTTTCTCTCCGCTGACATTTCCTTTGTATTCCCATGCAACATGGCTTTCTTTTCACTGCCCTTCTCAATGAAGATTTTTGGGAAATTGTGTTTAACTGCACTTTGGTTGTTCAGGTGATTTAAAAAAAAGGGGGGGGGTTCAGAGCCAGATAATGTACACTGTTCTTTAGAAGATTTTGGAGATTAGAAGATTCAGCCGTTTTTGAGGACGAGATGATCTGTTTTCATGACCTCATAAACAGTAAATTTACTTTGTAGGTGTGTGGGGAGAGGGGTGTAGCCTGGCCATTCTTCTCTGGAAACATCCTGGCAGGTGAAAGAGAGGAGGTCATTGTGGTGGCAGCCAGATGGATGGTGGTGGATTGTGAAATCATGCGATTTACTTCAAGAAATCTATTGATCTGGTTTGGGGGGCTCTGCTTTCACCTCCAAATCAGACCTACGCTGATTTTTTACTACCTAATGTTTGTCTCCAAAAGGACTCCTTTGAAATAACTCCAAAGCCTCCTTGACTCAAATGCATCATTTGGCTAAGGCCTCACTAAAAGGCCAAGGAATTGAGTCATGGCACTGGAGAGTCAGGAAGGACTTTGGGAGCAGCCCACATTCTCAAATTACAAATGAGAAAACAGAGACTCCTGGTAGTTAAAAGACAGAGCTGGTGGCGGAATGGGCCTGAGAATCCCTGGGTTTCCTCTCTTCCTGTTCTGTTCTGCCCAGAAGCCTGCTCCACAAGGCTTCTGGGCAGATGCTTTTCTTCCCAAGCGGAGCAGACTCATCTCATGATGCTGCAGGTTGACCAGATCTCTGCCTTGGGGAGCTTCCCCATTCTGGGTGGTGGCCTTGCACAACGGTCACCAGCATCTGCCATGTGAAAACATTGTGTGCCAGACACATAGAAGGATGGCTGAAGCTGCTTTCCGCAGGATGTGTGCCCGCTGGATTTGGCTTAGACAGGTTTTCCAAAGATCACAATGTTTAATAGGACTGCCTGTGCGCTCTCAGCTCCGGGTGCCAATTTACCCTGCTCTCTTCTGTAACCTAAACCTAGCTAAATCTGCTAATGCTTTGGGATTTATTTATTTTTATTTTATTTTATTTTATTTTTTAATTTGATGGATGTCAGTTGACCATAGAAACCTGTGCAATTTCTGACGTAAGTAACTCCCCTCTTGTCTGACTAGATTTTTCCAATTGTGTTTCTTAACTCTTAGATGGAAGGATTAAAAAATAATTTAGAAGAGCAAGACAAAAGAATTGAAAATCTGAAAGAAAAAGTTAACATCCTTGAAGCCCAGGTAAGAGGGGAATCTGTTGTGTATTTCAGGGCAATTGTGAGTGTGCGTGTGCGTATGTGTGTGTGCTCGGTGTATCTGTGAGTCTGTGTATGAAAGTGTCGCGTGTGCTTGTGTGTGTTGGTGCTGTGAGACATGATGAGTTGTATGTGGGCAGGTGTGTGAGTGTATCTGTGTGATTGTGCCTGAGTATCTATGTGTGAGTGTACATGCATGTGTCTGTGTGTATATGAGTGTCTTTTCGTGAATGTGTATGTATATTTGTCTTCTATGTATAAGAAATTATAGATTCATGGGAGAGGTATTCCTAATAATTATTGCAGTATTAAACCTTATTTTATAGTATTAAATTATTAGTATTAATATTATTAAATAACTGGTAAAAGTTCCTCCGGTTTCCGGAATGCTTGCTATACTGGGGGGACAGATAATAACATCTCACCGTGTGGCCTCGAGCTGGAGGCTTGGTTAGGCCCACCTTGTGTGAATTCAGCTCTAGCCAGGTAGCTGGCTTGGTTCTCTTATGTCTTTGTTTGTGTCCTGCCCCGAGGTGTCCCTTTGCCCCCACCTCCCTTCTAGCATTCATATCCACGGCAGCTGGCGCACTCTGCATCGGGCTCATCCACTTTGAGAAGCCTGTTGTAATTTTCTTATTTTTCAGTGCTTTGAAACTTAGGGTACCTAACACTTTATCATTTCCTGTGATAGGACGTGCCCCCCCCCCAACCGTTCATTGCCCTTGATGCTAGGGAAGCCCTCCCTAGGGACCGAGGCCCACGCCTGCCCCTGGGCTCAGCCTGCTGCTCGGTGCCACCTCTTCCTTCTCTGCCGGCGGCTCCTCACTGGCTGCCCGGGCCTGGTCACCTGTTCTGGTTCATTCTGCAGGATTCCGACTCCCTGCTTGCTGTCCCCAGCCCTGCTGTCCTGTCCCGTGGAACACGGAGCTGCTCGCCTTCCCCAGCCCCCGCGATAGACCAGACAGGAGCTGCCCCCTTGCTCTCTGCTTTCCCCAAACAGAAGAGGCAAATCATAATCCATTCAGCACAGTTTTTAAATAGTTTTACATCTTAAACGTTGTAACCACAGCCGTGTTGTGCCATTTCTCCCCTTCCCAGAGGGTCACCATTCTCTCCGTCCTGGAGGGTGAACCCTTTGAGCCTCGGGCTGTGCTTCGATGCTTGCCCTCCTTAGGTTGCCTGTGGCTGTTGGAGAAAGGCAGAGCTTGCACAAGTCCCGTGCAACCGTAAAGTGCAGGGGCAGTGGAATAATTGGCTCAACACTAGTGTGCATGCAACTACCCGTTAATGGCTGGCCCGCTTACACCCAGGGGCTCAGATGATGGGATTCAGACCACATTAGAGCCTCTTCCTCCCAAGGAATGTCTCTGTGGGGATTTCCTCACAGTTTTTTTGTACTTAGTGGCTTTTTGGCAAATATTACTTGATAAAATACTTTTTCTTACATTATTTTTGTTACTAATATATATTCATTAATCCCATACAAATTAGGAAATACAGCTAAGTACATCTAACAAGGAAATCATGCAGACTTGCCACCCATGGGTAATCAGTTGTGTCCATCTGTGTTTCTCTGGGACTCGATGTGCCTGTGACATGCCTGTGTATGTAAGGTCTATGTACATGGCATCACGTTATGCCTGCTTCATTGGGTTTTTAAGCTTCTATTCATTTCATTCATTTGTTCACATCATCAATCTTGTCATTGATTCTGTAAGTACTTATTGAGTGGCTGCTGTGCTGTAGAGGTATGGGAAGTGGCTAAGTTTGGGAAGTGGCTAAGTTTGAAGAAAACGATATTGAACAAAAGAGACAGGAACCCCACATTCTGGAATATACTGTCTAGAGAGAGAGAGACACACATAAAGGAACATGTAACTAGCAATATTATGGAAGCATTTTGCAAGGACAGAGCAAGATAACACTGGGTGGAGGACTTGGATTGGTGGGTGGGAGTAAGCTAAGAAAATGAATTTTAACCTGAGCCTAGTGAACAACTGGGTGATAGAACATGTCAGGAAGAAGGACAGGGAGCCATTGGGAGTGCTTCTAACCTAAGAGTTGTATGGAATAGCATGGGATGGCATTGAAAAGGTAGGAAGGGGCTAGATCATGGACTATGCCAAGGAGTCTTTGTCTCTTTATAACAATATAATGTGAAGTCTTTGCTTACCAATTACATTACTTTTACATAACAGCCACTGTGCTGGTGTACTATTGGACATTAGATTGTTTTTCAGGACAAGGTATCAGTGGTACTGCTGTTTTAATTCAGTTTTATTTCATTTAGTTGTGTCTATTTTGTCATCCCCAAAACAAATATTCTTGTCTTAAATAGACCGGCACTATAACTCAGATTGCTCAGGTGCAATACGTTATCCAATCGGCCTTTTGGTCTTTCCATTGTACACTGTTTCTGTCTTTCCAAATTCAGCAAATAATTGCTGATTAGCCACTCAGTGTTACACGAGAAAGCAACAGATTTGTTCCCCTCATGGAAACTTCTTGGTTGGCTGCAGACTCTCTGCAGTGATGTAAAAATACCTGTCAATATTGTCTCAGATTCTCTGTACATGGCTCCATTCAGGCCTCTGTTTTTAAATGTTTTCTTTTATTTAAAAAAAAGTCTTCAAGCTGTAGCAGTATCTGATAAATATATTTATATTCTCAAAACTAATTATCTTGAGTAGATAAATCTTTTCCTTCACAGCAAGGAATTTTACAATGACCATTTCAGCTTTAAAAAGTCCAAGCCACATTAATTTAATTTATTCATCAAATAGTTTTGTGTGTTTATGATGTATCAGGAAATGTTTCAAGTGCTGGGTATATGGGTATTGCACAGAATGGACTGTCTCTGACCTCACCTAGCTTATACTTTAAATAAAGACACAGACAATAAACGCATAAACAGGTAAATAAACAACATAATTAGAGAGGGACGAGTGCTCTGAAAAGTGTAGAATGGGACAATGTGATAGTTATAGAGTGATGGTAGTCGGGAAGGGCATCTCTGAGCCTGTGATATTTGACCAGGTACTCGAATTCAGTGAGTATTTGAGCCATGGTTTGCCTATTTCTGGTTTGGTCCTAATCAGTGCTTTATTATGAAATTCTTAAGCTGGATGATTTATGCAGGAGTATACGATCTTGCACCGCAAATGTAAGACCACTGCCTATGTTGGGATCCGTTAAGTAACGGGGTGAATTGATTGCATTTATGAAAATGGTCACCCAAGCTTGAGCAACCCATTTAAACACATCAACTGTGTTTCTAAACCACACAGACAGCATCATACCAAAAACATTAATCTCTTTTTAGGCATGCGACATGCTTCATTTTCTTTAATCCTCAAAACTACTCTGGGAGAAAGTTATTACATTTTATAAGTGATGAAACTGAGATTCAGAGAAGTTAAGAAACTCATTCAAAATCACTCATTTGAGTCTTATTATCTTGGAAGCACATCCCCTCCCCCCCTCCCGCCCCATCACCACCACAAAATCTATTTGTTGGTGTGATTACTTAAGTGTATGTTGGGAGGGTAAGTGTGTATGTGCATGTGCGAAATACATGTGTGTGCGTACAAGATGTATTTAGAAATGAAGAGTTGGTAAATTCGCCTGACCATTTATATTTATTTTAGTCATTGTCGCAGTAACTATATCACAGTGTTTTCCATTTTCCAGTTTTTTGAGTCATGATAACAAATACTTTTTTTCTGTGGTACTCTTTCTATCTTAGCAGGTTTTCCCCCTCTCTGCGAAGGAGATGTAGTTACTCATATAACTCTATCCTTTAAAACAACAACAACAACTTTAAGGTTTTTAAAACTTTAAAAAATATCACTGGAAGATTTCTGATTAACTACCAAAATTATTTACTTTTCTTTCTACTCTTGCTGTATCTTTATCATCTTAATTTTCAGCTCCGACATTCCTCTCACATTGCATGCATTTCTAGCTTCCTCACTAATGACCTGCTGATATAGAAATACATCTTCAGAAATTACTCCATTTTCTAAACACTGAAGATTATATTATTTTATATACTCATCATGATCCTTAAAATTTAATTTAACAAACATGTGTTGATAGAAAGTATGCAAAAATTAGGTTCTTTTGGAAAGCCGTGTCAACACACTATCCTTGGATAGAGTCATCATAATAGCAGACGTATTATGGTCAGTGATTTATAGTTTTGTAAAATAATAATGTAATAAAACTCATGAATGTCCTAGTTAAAGGAAAAACTATGATAGGCCGTGAATCAAAAATAAATCCCTAAATCTAGTAGCTGAAATAAATCAGCACAGGAGCTGAGGCAAATGAGCATAGAGACAGTGTAACATGATAGTTCTTATGTTTTTGTATTGCTCGATACTCAGGAACTTGAGAAACTGGGAGTTTATTTTGGAAAAACTCCCAATAGCCTTTACGTAATTGTCCAGCGTAGATTATTTTTATTCCAATCTTCATTGTCATCAGGATGTTGTGATTCATCTTGCTTCCTAACTCATAGAATATTGTGCGGAGTTTTTCTCAGCAGCGTATTTGGCCTGTGATATGTGCCTATGCTTGTTTGGAGTGTATATTAGCTTTATCTCCATTATCCAAGGAGCATCTTTATTATCAATTTATCAAATCTGAAGTACATTTCATACCTGAGACTTAAATGCTTATCTCTTGAAAGATTACAGTGAAATGGTCGTTGATCGTAGTCTGTGAAGATATTTTAGTTATTATGCAGTATAGATGCCGAGGGATAAGAAAGGGCAAAATCCGTATCTTGCTCTGCTTTCCTTACTCCAGTAGTTTATTATCTTGGCAGCACGTTAGAATCACCTGTGGAGTCTTGAAAACTCTTTTTTTTTAATAAAGATTTTATTTATTTATTTTATTTGAGAGAGAGTGGAAGGAGGGGCAGAAGTCTTAAGCAGATTCTCAGCTGAGCATGGAGATGGATGCAGGGCTCGATCCCACAAACCTGAGATAATGACCTGAGCCAAAGGCAGACGCTTAACCGACTGAGCCACCCAGGCACCCTGCGAGTCTCCAAAACTCTTGAATCCAGACTACAGCCAAGTTAACAGACTCTCTGGGATGAGGCCCTAGCATCAGTAGATTTTCTATCTCCCCAGATAATTCCAATATACAACAGGCACTGAAAACCAGCATTTGGGTCCAATGGTTCTCAAACTTGAGCAGATGTCAGAATCATCTGGTGAGCTTCTTAAAACAAATCGCTTGGCCATCTGGGTTTCTCTGTAGGTCTTGCTGGACACTGAGGAAGCAGTAGTTCTAGCTGTAGTTCTAGCATTCCCCCGTGATGCTAATATTGCTGAGATGCTGAGATCACACTTTAAGAACTGTTGCCTTAGTCCTTTTCCCCCTTCTCTTCCACCTTGGCCATTTCACTTTGTCTTCAAGGTCCAGGTGAAATATCTTTGTATATGAAAATGTCATAAACTATTCCAGTCACACTGATTTCTGTTATACCTTTTATGTAGCAATTAATTACCTACTGCCTATGGCATCTCCTGATCTGCTTTGATTTATTTTTATTTTTAATGTTCATGCATTTGTTTTATCACCTCCACTGTATTATGCATCCTGCATACTGGAGGGAAAGACCTGTGCTTTCCTGCACTTCTTCACATTCACTCTGCTCCCGGCGTGGTGCCATAGACATGGTGGAGACTGACTAACTGGATGTGTGGATGGATAGTTGCTCTAAATTAATTGTTGACAGTTTACTTTTTTTTTTATCTATTTCCTATTTATCATATCTGGAATTCCTTTAGAAATCATTGAGTCTCTGTGTTCCTGAGGCTCACCCTTTACTTATTTGTAATATAAGAAGGCTGAACTAATTCCTCTGGTTACAGAAAAATATCTAACAGGACAAAGAGCATGGAAGTTGGCAGACAGGCCTTATGCATTAAACTTGTGCATTATACAAAATGCTACATATACAATGTGTGGGTTATTAGAAACAAGTTACCTAAACAATTTGAGCTTTGCCAGCCTTCTTTCTTTAACATGCATAAGAATAAAAGTTATCAAAGAAAAGATGAACAGAAAGCACCTGACAAGTGTCTTGATATTTGGTAGGCACTCCTAATTATTAACACTCTTGCTTCCATCAAAATTCTAACATCTATTTCCCTAAACCATGCATTTTGGTGTTGGCTTACTCCAAACCGTCTGGTGGACTTTTAAGAAATACCTTTTAAACTTCAATTATATGACACTTTAAATCCTTAGTTTCCTAATAGGGATTGGAGCTAGTGTGTGACTCTACTTTTACAGCCACAGTTCTGGGACGCCTGGATGGCTCAGTGGTTAAGCTTTACTTTCAGCTCAGGGCGTGAGCCTGGAGTTCTCGAGTTCTCCCTCTGCCTGTGTCTATCTATCTCTCTCTGTGTCTCTCATGAATAATAAATAAAATCTTAAAAAAAAAAAAGATTTAGAGCCACAGCTCCACCTGTCAACCTCCCACCTCGCCCCCTTTCTGTCCCAGCCCCTGCTGGGCTGGTGTACCCTTTAAACACCTCTGACCTATAGAGGTCCATGCAACCCACTTCCCTATAGAGGAAGCGTTGGCTCTGGACTGGGAGGACCTGTCTTGAACCTGAATTTTGTCATGAACACGATGGCGGGCACTTAAGTTCTTTGGACCTCAGTTTTTCATCATAAAAATGGTACTTGAACTAGAAAATCATAACCAACTGCCTGAAGTCTTAAAATCTGTGTCAGACACTGAACTGAATACATCTTGATATGTCATTTCAGAACCTGTGAAGAAGAGATTATGGTTCTATTATACAGATGAGGAAACTGGGCTCAGAAAGGTTAGGTAACTAAGTGAGGTCACATAGCTACTGAGTGGCAAGGATTTGAGCCTGAGAACTTAAACTCTTGTCGTCCTTATTAATACCATTACACTATCTCCTAGAATTATGAGAGTGCTTCCAGATTTAAAATATTATGATCACATGGGATTTGTTTCTTCCAACAACTAATACATGCTAGGCAAGATGTGTATCATTTACCACTAGTATAGAGATCAAGAAACTGAGGTTTCAGTGAGAAAATTAGGGCTAAAAATGCCATGAACTGTATAGTAAAGAACAGATGGTGCTTATTTTCACGGAGCTTATAATCAGGAGATTGCACAAGAAAGCCAAACATGTAATCAATATCGTGGGTGTCTTTAACAAGGTTCTTTAGCAAAATTATTTTATGAAGTTTTTTGCATCTGTCTATGTAAAAGAAACTAAAATCAAACACAGTTCAGCTGTTAAATTTCAGAAGATAACATAGAGTAGCTCCATTTTAATCCCTTGGAAAATTGTGCACTTTTTTAAGGTGTGTTTGTAATTTCAGAGATAATTGTGACTCTCAACTGGCTGTATTCTGTATTCTAATAGAGTGACTGAAACAAGCTTACTGCCAAGGAGTAATGTAGGTGGAGGGTTGATCAGAAGCATTAAGCATGTGACTGATAAATCTGCTACCTATGTGATCTCTGCACATTTTTTTTTTCAACTGCAGAATAAAGAACTAAAAACCAAGGTGGCACTTTGGTCTGACACTCCTAGGACAACAGTATCAAAGGCTGTCTCTACAAGGTAAGGTCTGTCTTCCTCCGCCACCATCTGCCTTCAAAGCTTCTGTTGGACATTCATTCATGAATGTTGACATTTATCCCACTTGAGAAATAATTCCAATCTATTAGTACTTACGTGATCATTGGTTTACTGTCTGTTTCCCAGTTCTTGAGAATAAGACCTATGTTACTTATTCTTTTTTTTTAAGATTTTATTTATTTACTCATGAGAGACACACACACACACACACACAGAGGCAGAGACACAGGCAGAGGGAGAAGCAGGCTCCATGCAGGGAGCCTGACGTGGGACTCAATCCCCAAATTCCAGGCTCACGCCCTGGGCTGAAGGCGGTGCTAAACTGCTGAGCCACCCTGTTGTCCCCCCATGTTACTTATTCATCATTGAACTCTCAAAGCCCAACATAGAAATACTTACTGAATAAATGAGTGAATTAATTTAGATATCTTTTCTTGCTTTGTTCCATTAAACAGGCCTCGTCTTGGCTTCAACACTTTCTCCAAACAGCACACATCATCTTCTCTATGGTCCTTGTTTCTCCATTATTTCTGTTTTTCTGTTGATGAGCACTTATTTATAAATTGTTTGTACTTATGTGAATGTCCATATTTCAAACCAGGTAGATTGTAAATGTCAAGAAGGCAGGAATAGTTCCTTGTATTTCACTTTATTTCCTGTATTGCTGACAGTAAGTGTCTTCAGTAACTATCTAATAATGACAGAATCAAGCAATGATAATGACCCACTACAGCAATCAAAATGTTGGTTGAAACCATCAAAGTCACTTTCTAACAGGACAGAATCTGAAATGACAAGTTGAAAAAAAAAAAAGACTTCTGGGCTCAAATCTTATTTCCATAATAGTCTATGAAATTATCACTTAAAAGAAAACAGAGTCTGTAATTACATGAATGATTTAAAAAGTGATTAAAAACTTCCTGTTCTAGCAGCTTTTGAATTTCCCAGGCCAGTCCCTCTAGGGCAGAAGCCTGTTTTCTGAAACTCTCCTCGGGGCAGTGCCTGGGGTAGCAAGTCAGCCCTGCTGTGATTCGCATCAGTCCAGGAAATCAGGGAGATCCATCTCCCCCTTCAGAACTCCCTGCAGCCATGCTTCACTTTGTTAATGATGTATGTAGTCAGAGACAAGATGAAGCCATTCTGAATCGAGTCTTCGAGAATCATTGGGCTTCCAGGTGCTATGTTATCAATTCTTTTGGCCGCCAGCTCTGCAACTTCCAATAAAGAAAAGAAAAAGCCCTAGAAATATTAAAGGAGAAAAGTGAAATACCCACATTTCAGAAGCAGTGAGAGAAGCAGTCACTTTAGTAGGGGAAGAAATGAAGGGTCCAGTATAGAAGGGCAAGCATGACTCCAAGGGAAAGGGAGGTGATTGCCTTTTTACGTTCTCACCAGATAGCAGTCCCCTTAGGGTGCTACAGCATCCTGGCCATCCTCAGCTGTTTGACCCTGTAGGGAGTGCAGCCAGAGCAGAGTAGAGGAAGGAGCAACCGGTTGTCTCTATATTCTAACAACAGGCTTGAACATGGATACTCTAACACAAAGGGAATGTGCTAGAGAGAATGACTTCTACTGCCAATTCTTTACCTGTAGCAAATTAATTGTTAAAGATCTTTTGGTTTTAAAGATTGTTTTTAATTCCTCTGACTTGATAGATCTCATGTTTGCAAAATGAAATATGGCCAATTGGCTGCTTTGAGAATGTAAGCTATGGTATGGTTTGGTAAGTCCAGGTTCACCCATATGCAATGGAATTATAACTCAAGGGAGAGATTGGAGTAGGAAAGTAGCTGTTAAGGGGGGAAAAATCATGTACATTTCAAGATTAATCCAGGCAAATCTCCCTAATCACCCATAAAATATACTTCTATATCTCTCAGTAAGTACCAAAAAGCAAGGTGTTTCCCTTGAGCATTAGAACATAGAGATAGTTCTTGAACCCTGGAAGAGGTGTTTACTGGAGATTGAGGGTCTTGTTGTCTGGAAGAGGTGTTTACTGGAGATTGAGGGTCTTGTTCTTAGACAATAACAACAGAACACACGTGGAAGTGTGTGTGAGTTGCACACCCATATATTTTAAATACTAGAATCACACAATGAGGAGAGAAGTTCAGACTGAGAAGCCCACAGAATTAAAACGTCCTGGCAGAAGGGTTGACTAAGGTCTCGAGTCACTCCAGTGCATGTCTTCACTGTGTGGAATGGCAGAGACAGGCTCTAAGTCTCTCTCCCCTCCCCTCGCTCTTCGTCACTCTTGTCCTACTACAACTGGCTGAATTTGCATAAGTTTGATGCTTCCACTTGTGATTTTAGCATGTCTCTTGGGGAATTAGAATCACCCAATTAACCACCATTTCTCTTAGACTAAAGCAATTAGTTCAGACTTGGTAGTACAGCGGTGGTGGAGACGGGAATGCTGGTGATACGGCAATTATATCACTAAAGTTTAATGTGCTCGATTTTGATAATTGTATGGTCTTTTCTACAGTGAATTGAAGACTGTCGGCACTACGCCCTATTTGATGTTGATTAGGCTCCGGAAATGAGCCGGCTGGCTGAAGATCTGAATGAGGAAGATCACTATATAGGTCTTATTTATTCCTTGAAACACAGCCGAAACTTGCTTGTTAAAATGGCTCAATGCCAGTATTCAATGGAATTTACTCTACATCAATACTTTTGCAGAAAGATGACATTCCAGAAAATCAGACGAATATATATTCAAGGGAAGGAACTCTTCCTTCAAAACTTACTAAGTGAAGAGATCAGGGGCTTTTGATGGAAAATGAATTTTGCTTTAAACTTAAAAAAGATCTGAATTTTTTTTGCAGATTTTTTGCTGAAGAGGGTGGTTTAAGGTTGTCAACTATAACCTTTCAATAGTGGTTTTATGTATATAAATGGAAGAGTGTATGTGTGCATGAGTCAAGGATATATTTTAAAGTTAACTCTGGATAATAAAAAATATCTTAACGTGAACTTATAAATTCATCTCCTGACCCACTGTTAGTGGGAGAGTAATTCTTTACTGCCTTATGGGCAGGAGGAGGAGTAGGTTTTTTTAGCTAATTCCCCAACCCACATAACCCTCCAAAGCTGAGACTCATGGCATCTCACCACACTTTAGGAAGCCATTGTTCTTCAGTTAGGATTGCAAATTGGTTGCTAGAGACAACCCACAAATAAGCACAAAGAAATGGAGTTTGTTACTCTGGCTTCGTGACTAATTTTCTTTTCAAGATTCATTATATTATCTAAGAAGATATTTGGAGGGAAGAATACAAACACAATGCCGGCAGCTCAGAAACCTCCATAAAAGTGTGTATATTTTGGGTTTAGAGGAACAGTGGCTGCTGTCCGCAGCCAGGAAGACCTGAATTCATGAATTAGAATTAGATGTCCAGTGCTTTATTTACCTTTTGATACAGGCATTCATCACAGGTGGAGTTTGTGATTGCTGTGAAGAAAACCACACTCTAATTCGTAGAAATGCAAACATGCTGACACACAGAAAACACTTGAACTGAAGCAATAATGGGCAGCCTTGGCCATACTAAAGGGTGAATTCCTTGTAAGCCTTTTGATCCTCCTCTCTGCAGTATGACTGTAAACGTTTTCTCAGGAAAGATGCTTCAAGGCTTTCAATGTGGAATGTGAGCTAGCGGTATTGTCTATGAAATATTTAAAAATACATGCAAAGGAGATAAAGTAATGTATTTATAAATTCATCAGAGTATTCTAATCTTTTAAATGTCGCATAATTCTATGTGTGCATTTCATGCTTCATGTTTTTATTGCTTGCTAGTTTTTCAAGTGTAGTTATCTAATAACATTTATGGCACAGTTCCTACACCAGGAACACTTCTAAGTACTTTACCTGAATTAATTACTTGAATCTTCCCAACAGGCCTCAAAAGCAGGTCATATTATTACCCCGTCTTACAGGGGTAGATACTGTGAGGTCCAGTAATTTCCCCTGCTGCCAGTGATGGAGCAAGGATTTGGACCTCTTGCTTGGCTATCAGTATTCTTTCTATCTGTTCACTAGGTGGTCAATTTCCACACTATAGAAATACCTCTCTTTTTGCTACTTTAACAAGCATAGCTTCCTTGTTGGCTATGTGAGCTATTCTGTGAATGATGGTCAGAAACAACCCTTACTCATAAAGTAAATATTTTGCTGCAATTAAGTTGGTCTTTCACCTGTTGGACTACCCTCATGAGCGCTTGGTTCAGAAAAACTACCCTGCTAAAAATCTTGAAATTCTACATTTATTTTATGACCTTATGCCACATGGAAGATTCTTTTGGCAGTGTATTTTCAGACACGTTTGTAGGGAGTTTGGGACCACAAGTTCTGTCAAGCAGTTGCAGTGTAATAGGTGAATTCACCTTTCACCTGGAGATCACTTAGGTTCCTGTTACACCCCAGTCACCTGGATGGATGGTAATAAATATGAGATTTTGAAACGGATCCATCTAACTGAGCTAACAACTAGAATGATTCCCATTAGAATAATGTGTTCTAAAGTCAAAAATGGGAAGACGCTGTTGGATTTAACTCTGCTCCTTTTTGAACATGGAAGTACAGCTGGACATTACACAGATAGGACCTGCTCATGTGCTCTCCACATTCACCCTGATATGGTCTTTGGATTTCCTGAGAACAAGAACAAGCAGTTTCAGAAGCTTAAAACAGTCTGGCCTCTTCGAATACAAAAGTAATTTTTAAGTAGCATCAGCAATATCATTTTTTGGTCATATATAGATTACTTCCTATATCTTTATGGTTTCAGCTTTTACCATTTGGTATGTTTTTTTAATAAATATTTCTGAGCAATAAAACAAAGGATTAAATGGAAAATAAAAAAGCATTAACCTAAAAGTAATGCCAAACAAGAAATACAGGAAAAGAAACACAAGTTCAGTTGTAGTCTAAATGGTTATACTTATAATGATGCTAATCAAGATATTAAAGTCTGAGGTGGACCTTGAATACAAGAATGAGCAAATGAAAAGAAAGTTAGTTTCACTTTGATTACATATTGTAACAAATCTTCATTAAGAAATGTTTAAACAACAACAAAAGAAATGTTTAAACAATTAGTATAATACATGTATCTTTTGAGTAATTGCTTATGGTATGCCTTACAATAAAGAAATTGATACCATTTTTTGTTAATTTTTTTATTTCTTTTTACATTAACATTATTATGCATAAGTGAATTAAGTCACTTATATTTGATTATTCATGACAGTATAAACCATAAAAATGGATTGTTTTTGCCGTGAGCAGGTATTCAGATGGCTCCTTGAATTTTTCTGTTAAATTTCCCTGGATCCAAATTAATGGAAAAAGTAATCTATTAAGTTTTTATTCTGAATTTGAAAAAATAGTAGCATTATAAAAGTAAGAACAAACATGCTTCTCAAGCATTTTCATATTTCTTTATTTTGAAAATCTTTACCTCTCCTCTGAGCTGGAAATAATTAAAGAATCCTCATCAATATTGAAGTAGGGACCCAATCCATCAAGGACTGAAAATTCCTTCAACTAATAATCATTATAATTCCCCCCACTTCCTCCCTTTTTTACTTCCTTTCTTTCTTTCTTTATTATTTTTTTGGTGGGAAATATTAAAGATGCAACATAGATTTAAATAATCGTATTTGTTTTGTTATTATTTAAATATATATCTATAAGGGTTTAAAAATCGAACTAGAACTACAGAAAGTTGGAAGGGTCATTTGGAAATCAATCAATGTAATTAGCCATTTACACATAATAAAGAAGAAAAATTATATAATTATTTTAATAAGTGAAGGAAAGTGACAAAATTCATGATAAAAACTGAGCAATCTGGGAATAAGAAACTTTATCATTCTGCTAAAGAGCATTTACCAAAAACCCTTCAGTCACTATAACTAGTGATGAAAGACTAATGTTAAGATAATTGCTCTCACCACTTTTCTTAAACATTGTACTGGTCCTAGCCATTGGAATATGGAAAAAGAAAAAGGAAGAAAAGGCATACAGATTGGAAAGGAAAAGTAAAACTGTCTATTGTTCATATAATTGTTAATGTAGAAAACGTTAATGACTCTACCAAACAGCTACTAGAACTAAAGACGCTACTAAACAAATTTTAAAAACCATCAATATTAAAAACCAACCTACAGGATGGGTGAAAATACTCACATGTATAGGATTCATATTCAGAATATATAAAGAACCTTTAAAATATAATGAAGAAAAACCAGTAAAGAATACTGGCAAAAATGTTTGGAGAGTCACTTCATAAAACAAGTAAGACAAATTACAAACACACACATGAAAAGATGTTTAATCCATTAGTTATCAGGGCAATGCAAATGAAAACCACTAAGAAATAAATGCCAAACACACCACTAGAACATCTAAAATAAAAAGATGGGCCTTAATGAGGATGTGGAGCAATGAGATTATATAACGGTGGAAATGCAAAAATGGTACAAGCAGTTTGAGAGACAGGTGTTTTTTTTAAAGTTAAATATACACCTGCCATATGACCTAGCCACTCCTTTCTTTACTTTTTTTTTTCACCCCAGGAAACAACAGCTTCTGTGTATCTGAATTTTCATGGCACCTTTGTTTGTAATAGCCAAAACCTAAGAACACAACAGATGTCCATTAACAGGTGAACAGGTAAACAAATGTGGTACATCCATACTTTGGAATATAACTCAACAATAAGAAGAAACAAGAAGCACAAACAAATATATACAACAATGGATAAACTTCAAATCATTAAATTTAGTGAAAGAATCTGGAGGGAGAAAAAGAGGACATGCTATGTGATCCCACAGCAACAGAGAGCATATCAGTATTGACCTGGGGACAGGAGAAGAGGGAGAGAGTGCACGGGAGCACAGAGACACATAGGGAGGGAGTAGAAATGGCCGGTGTGTTGAGAATGGTGATGTTTCCATGGATGTGTTCCATGACAGAAGTCAATACCTTGTAGAATTTAAATATTTACTTCAATAAAGTAGTAAAAAAAATGTAAGTTAACACTGTTATTCTTCTAGCCACCCAATCGGGTTGGCACAAAGGATTCATTCATTTTTTTCTTTCAACAAGTATTTATTGAATGCCTTCTATGTGCCAGGCACTGTTCTAGATGCCAGGGCTCTGACAGTGGAGAAAGAAGAGGGCGTGCATGTGCTGGGGAAGAAAGAAAAAGGAAAGATCTCTACCTTCATGTAAATATATTCTAGTGACAAAAAAAAAAAAAAAAGAAAAAGAAAAAAAGAACATAATAATGTTCATAATAATGTCCCAAGACTGTGAAGAAAAATAAGGCAGAACACAGGGATCAGGAGTTACGGGGTTTATGGTTGTGGTTGCAATTTTAAACAGGTTGATAATTTTAAATGTGGTAACAATGGATTGGTAAGTTAACTAGGAGAGTAATCTTAAATAAGATCTCTTTGGGACGCCTGGGGGGCTCAGTGGTTGAGCGTCTGCCTTCGGCCCAGGGTTGATCCTGGGACCTGGGGATGGAGTCCCGCATCGGGGTCCCTGCAGGGAGCCTGCTTCTCCCTCTGCCTGTGTCTGCTTCTCCCTGTGTTTCTCATGAATAAATAAATAAAATCTTTAAAAAAAAAAGACCTCTCTCTTTAAAGATACCATTTAAACAAAGACAGGAGGAAGGCTAGGAAAGTGACCAAACTACAGGGTGTTGTCATTTGGCAGAGGAAGGGTCCAAGAAGAGGCAAGTGCAGGTGCACAGGCTCCGGAAGACAGACCAGGTGTGTCCTGGAAGAGCTAGGATGTCAGTGCAGCTGGACTTGGCCCGTGAAGAAGTTCCAACCTCGTCTAAGTCATCTTCCATGCAACGTAGTCTTTCATGTTTCTTTGTAGAAGTCATTCCTTTTATTTGAACAATGAATGATCCTCCCAGTTCTTTGAATTCTGAGCAGTGGTGAGCTAATGAGTTTTAGGAATCTGTATCTCGATTTTTGTCTATGTTTTCCTAACATGTTGAGAAAACCCATGTTTTCAGAAGGCTCAGTCAAGGGAAAACTACTCTTGAAAGGTTCAGCTGAGTGGTCTTATTTTGACTTTACGCCCTTTGCCTAGAGGACGCATGCCGAGCTGCTCTTGGGAGTCAGGGAAGGAGAAGAGGGTCCACGAAGCCAGGCAGCATGTATTCATAATCCAGTAGTTTACCAGCATGATTCCAAATCACTCCTTCTGCTTCATTCTTTTCATCGGTGAATGAGTCATGATATAAAATTCTCTGGAGAATCAAGCAAACAGCTTGAAGTTGTCTACTATTAACCTCGCTGCTGTTTTTTGTTTGTTTGTTTTGTTTTAATTTAAATCTTTTTGGTAAAGAAGAGTCACTTTCTCAGAGACCTACAAAAATGGTTTAAAGCTTCGATAATTTCAAAAATCTGATTATTATCCCGAAACATTTCTAATACCTATAATATAACCTTCGTCAAATTATAATTTGTGTGTTGGCTTTTAAAGCATAATGTAAGTCACCTAAATGAGTTTTTTTTTTTCTAAATGAGTCTCTAACAGAGGAGCAATGCTCACATTCTTAGAATTAGAATTTTATTTTTTTTAAAGATTTATTTATTAGCAGGGGTGGGGGTGGGCAGAGGGAGAGGAAAAGGAGAAGCAGACTCCTCTCTGAGCACAGAACTTGATATGGGGCTCCGTCCTAGAACCCTGATCATGATGTGAGCCAAAACCCAGAGTCGGACTCTTAACTGACTGAGCCACCAAGGCACCCCCGGAATTAGAATTTTATATTGAAATGAAATGTTTTTTGGTAGAGAGGGCAGCAAATAATCCAAATACCTTACATACAGTTTTTAAAAGATTTCTCTTTTCCTCATTAAAGATAGTGAATGTAAAGATGGTCTTTTTTCTCCCCATCAATAGGGGGCATGCTGTGACTATTTAAAAATCCTCTAAAGCCGTTAGGAAAAGCAAGTCTCTAATGACTTGTTATAAATTACTTAAGAAACCAAAGGGCAAAAGACACTGCCTATGTGAAACAGCATTACAGCTACCAGGGAGTCAAGTTGAGAGCATGGTGCCAAGGATTTATTTGCTTGCAGTGGGAGAGTTGTTTATCTTTAAATTAAAAACTCATCATTATCTTGGCAAAGACTATCTAAGTAACATATGGAATGAGAGCAGCTCTGGGAACAAGGCAGCCTTTGCAAATGAACATTTAAAAGGAAACTGTATGGTCATGGTCTTGAATCGGCCTCGAACATCAGTCCTTTCACCAGTCTGAGACTAAGGAGGTTGCCACCACCTGCCTCAGCATCTTATTATGGGGAAGAAAGAGGTTAATATATTGAGGTGTTTACTTTAACAGATTAACAGCTAATTTTTTTTTATGATAGTCACACACACAGAGAGAGAGAGAGAGAGAGAGAGGCAGAGACACAGGCAGAGGGAGAAGCAGGCTCCATGCACCGGGAGCCCGATGTGGGACTCGATCCCGGGTCTCCAGGATCGCGCCCAGGGCCAAAGGCAGGCACCAATCCGCTGTGCCACCCAGGGATCCCCAACAGCTAATTTTATACATGTATCCTTCAAAATTATTAGGACATTTTCCTTGAAAGCCCAGTCTTTAAACAAATAGTAAATGAAATTTTTAGAGAGATAGATAAAAATCACTTGGCTAAATTCAAGTTACTCCTTATTTCCCAGTTTCTAATGGATACCATTTTATTTTTTTTTATTTTTTAAAGATTTTATTTATTCATGAGAGACACACACAGAGAGGCAGAGACACAGGCAGAGGGAGAAGCAGGCTCCATGCAGGGAGCCTGATGTGGGGCTTGATCCCAGGACCCCCAGGATCACGCCCTGGGCTGAAGGTGGCGCTAAACCGCTGAACACCCGGGCTGCCCTGATGGATACCATTTTAAATGTGAAACAAGTTCCATGTTGATTCTGATTTAATGTTCTCCATGCACCATACATGCAACTTCAGCACAGAAATAAGTTTGCTTTGAGTACACAAAATAACTGATAAAAATGCATTTTTATTATTGAAAAATGTGCAGGAACAATCACTGAATACAGTTTCTCCACCATAGTATTCAAACCCAGACACCACAAAATCA